TCCACTCCGAAATGGTGTTCCGCGTGTAGCAGTTCGACATTTGCCGCGCACACGTCTTTGTCCTTTTCTCTGCCCAGCCATCGCTTGCTCACTCTTGTGAGGATGTCAGCTCTGTTTTTCTTGGATTCTACCAGCTGAATTGTCACCAGCAGCGAATACGAATCCACCAACTCCTTGAAGAGACCCAGGCGACGTCTGACCAGCAGTTCCGACATCCCTGCGACTTTTATCCTGCAGTTTCCTTCCAACGCTGAAGACAGCCACCGCTTAACCGTCACGGAGTCAGTGATGACTTCTACTGACTGCAGTCCCCACTTTAGACTTAGATTCACACCACGCACTGCTGCATCTAGTTCGGCGATGTTTATGTGATTGTAGTCTGTTGTTTTCCTCAGCCAGGCTGCGTCTTCTACAATGGCTCCATTGATTTCCAGCGCGACCCCCATCGCCAGGCTACTCGCATCACACCAAACGCGACCGTGCTTTGCTTCATTTTTCACCAGCCATGGGCCTCGCACAGGGTCATGCTCCTGAATCTTCTCAAGAAGCTCTTCTGTCATCAGACGCACATCCATTCCGACATCGTCCTCCCATCGCACACCCTCGCTTCTCCTCTTGATGTAGCTGCACGCCACTCGGAGCCACCCGCAGACCGGATAGTGACCGGTGAGGCGACCACAGATCGAGAACAGTTTTCTGCGCGTTAGCTTCACAGACGCGTCCATGACAGGGATCTCATTGCCTCTGCTGAACTGAAGATCCTCCTGGCTGTCACGGTTCAGCTGGAGACCCAGCACACGTCCGCCGTCCAGCGCCTCTGGTGGTTTTGTCTCGAGACCGTATTTTTGCAGATGAGCCGCCACTTGGTCTGCGGTGACTATATTCTCTTGCACGATGATGTCATCCATGAAGTGATCTGTCCCGCTCTGCACTGAACTGTCCTGTGCCAGCACCTCACTCAAGATCTTCGACATGATTCGAGGAGAACAGTTCAGGCCAAAACCTAGGCGCGTGAGAACATATGTCTTCCCTTTGAACCTGACCTGCTGGTATTTCCACAGAGAAGAGTCTACATGAATCTGGAGGTATGCTGATTTCAAATCCATTGTGCGTACTGGTTCAGGAATCTGTCTCCATTTTCGGATGCTTTCGTCACACACTGCAATGTCCCCGCTTGTATGATTTTCAACAAATTTCATTCAACTCCCTGAAGTCGAACATTGGACGCACCCTCTCTTTGTTCTCTTGTATGACCGCCATCAGCGGTATCACGCCACCAGTAGGCTCGCCTTCTTGAAGCTGTAGCCAGCCCGCCTCAATCCACTTCTGGATTTCCTCTTCAAACTTTTCTTCTGTTTCCTCATTCAAGGTGCTCTGGTATATTTCTACTGTGTTGGCCAATTCTGGTGCGCGATCTTTCCACTTCCAGCTCACGGTCCATTTACAACCGTCGAAAGAGGCGCTAAAATCCTGATCTTCAACAATCATCGACGGTGTAGCCCCAGATATCTCGTCTCTTCCGGGTGATTGTCTCCTTCCCTCACAAGCGCTACTGTTGTCGGCATCATCTTTGCCTTCAGCAGTCACTGACGACGCAGCCGCAGCTTCCACGCCTCTCCCGACTGCTGCGATCTCCTCAGTGTACGCGTCTCTTTTGCTGTCAGCTCCACATGCCAGCTTTACTCCGTCACCATCGATTTTGACTCCGCCCAACCGAGTCAACACATCCATGCCCAGCACCACGTCTACACCTCTGAGCAGCTGATTCACCACCACACAATCTGCTGTTATTACATTCCCACAGACCTTCAAAGTGACTGACGCTGTTCCAGCACAGGTAATTCGACTGCCATCAACGGTCACTATCTCTTGTTCTCCACGCCGAAGAGCCCCACTTGTCCACACGGCGATTACAGTTTGAGAGCAACCTGTGTCTAGTAGTGCCTGGAACTCTTTTCCATTGACAGCCACTGGAACAATTGGCAACGCCTTTAACCCTGCTGCGGGGGAGCTGCCGGCGCACCAGCTCTCCCCGCGTCGTTTCCCACACGGCAGTCTCTGGCCAAGTGGCCCTCGCACCCGCAGTTCCAACAACACAGTGGTGTCTTCACAGCAGCATTGCAAAACCGTAGAAGATGGGGGCCCCCACAACCGTAGCATCGAACGGCTCCTTTACGCGGGGCGCCTCTGCGTGCCACTGCTGCCGCAGAGGTCACCACAGGCCGCTCGACGAGCTCTCCCACCAGACAGCGAGCGCGCTCCACAACATCGGAGAGCGGCATCCTCTCCACGCCTGGCAGTGCACGCAGCTCTCTTGATACAGCTGGTGGGAGACCCACGACAAACGCACGCAGCAAAAGAATATCGGAAGTTACTCCAGCCAGACGCGCCAGCCGCCGGAGGTCCGTCAGGTACACATCTACCGTTTCATCCCGCCACACTCGCCTGCACATCTCCTCATAGGCACGGAAGGGGTTGGTCGCAAACGCGACAGTCAGTGCTTGTCGGACGCACTCCGCGTTTACTTTTCTTCCTCTGCCATCTCGTTATACACAGCGAAGGCGGCACCCTCAAGGAAAAGAGGAATAACTTCTGCGACATTCTTGATTTTACGTAGCTTCGCAACAACATCTACTTTCGTTAGCCACTGCACTACATCGCCGGATCCGTCAAACGGCTGCAAGAAATCCTTAACCCTATTAGTGGCAGGGGGGGGGGGTTGTTTTTATCCACCCCTCAGGTTTTTCGGGAATATCTCCGAAACCGCTGAAGCTACGATGCTGAAATTTTCTGGCTTTTCCTAAAACTAAATTGGGCACATTCCCTGAAAATTTCAAGTTCATAACTTTACCAGGGGCGGCTCCAGAGCACTGGGAATTGGGGGGTCCTATTCGTGAAGCGAGTCATTTGGGCGAAGATCACGATGCTGCACCAGTTTTACGAACAGTGAATAAAAGGTATCATGTGATAGCATATACAGTTATTGTGCATCCTCTTTTGACACGTTTTTGCTATAATAGGCGGATCCAGGCGTCCAAAAAGGGGGGTTATGTTTTACCTCCCAACATAGGTGCCCTGACACCGCCTATGCAATACCGATACAATTTTAGTCGTTCTCTCATAAGAAAATTGTAACACAACAAGACAATTGCCACCCTTTTTTAGAAACAGTACCAACAAAAACCTTATTCACTATACTTTTTGTGTACCCCCAATCTCAATGATCTGTATCCGCCTATGATTTTTGAAAATGCATATTTTTAGGATCCATGTGAATTCCTGGTTCATTCTCTATCGATCGGCAAAAGTTGCGTTAAGATTGGTTCAGAAACCTGGCCGTGATAAACAGTCTAAAATGTATCTGCAATTTGCCCGTTTTTACCCCCCTCAACCCCCCCCCCCCCTATTGACATTTTTTAATTTTTATTTCTTAGAAATGTAGATCACGTTGAGCGAAGTCGAATGCCGTTTGAATTTTGAAAATCGGCCCGTTAGATCTCGAGATATCAAGGGGGGGTCGTAAACAGCCCCCCCCCCTGCCACTAATAGGGGGTAGCCAGGAGCCTGCCACTAATAGGGTTAATTTGTAAACCTGCCATTTTACGTTAATAGCCGAAATAGCTTGTAGCGAGTTGATATATTTTCTAAGCAAACGCGCTTAACACATCACCCAATAATCCACATTACTTTCATTCACTTCACTCTTCACGAAAACTCATCACAACCTCCAAATCGCCATCAATGCCCCAATAGGTCAGACCATCCTAACGCAAGATAATATCACACTCGCGTGCGGCGTATTACTAGGCACCGCCCAGCACAATCCATAACGAGTCTCACAGCTTGTATATCTCGGATTTTTCCGAAAGGTCATATGAGGTCAGGTCATTTTCATTACCATTATAGGTCAATGGGGAAAAATGAAAATGCCTCTACAGATGTAGATCCGTGTGTACGCATAGGAACAGTCCAAATATTGCAGCATCACAGTGATTTGGACCACCCGTGATGACCTAGGTGTCATTTTTGCTAATAGCCTCTAGAAAGGTCATCCGAGGTCATTTGAGGCTACAAACAGATTTTTGCCAATAACTCGCGATTGGAAAGGGCTAAAACGCTGGGGATGGCCTCATTGTGTTTGTCTTGTTGAGACGCATCGACTGATATGCAACATGACCTTTTCCGGTCAGGTCATGACCTTGACCGTAGGTCAAATTTTCAAGTTAACCTTTCAAGGTCAAGTTATGGTTCATTCGACGCGTCTCGGCGAGAACACGATTCTGGCAATAGAAATGTCGTTGCTTTTTGTAGTCGAAAGTTATTGTCGAAAACACTTTTCGTAAAAACAGCTATTTTTTGGAGTTTTTGCCCTCTGGAGGCTAAACCGTTGACCTGAGGTCAACTTTGATGAAAACTTTATCAAAAGAAGACCTCAAAAGCTATCGATTGTTTTTTATGCGTTTTTCTAGCTACCATAGTTCCTGAGATAACAGCATGTTTTCTGAAAAATGTAATGACAATTGGCAAATTTTTACCTCTGATGACCTTTGGTGACCCAAATATTGCTCTAAGATGAAAAATGACCGACATACTTTCAAACGTACGCATTGAGAGCTATCGACTGCTTTTTACCGCGTCTTTCTAGCCCTCTTAGTTTTTGAGTTAGAGGTGGGTGGTATCATATGCCCCCCCCCCCCGGCCCCCCACTCCCCCACTAGGGCGAAGTTGGCTGAGACCGCCACTTGGGCGCGGGTTAAGCCATGGCTGGAGTGAACACTGCGTTTAGGCGATGCACATCAGTCCTTTGTCTATACGTAAAAGAACTTGTTTTCCGCCCCCCCCCCCCGATTATTGACGTTGCGGGTTGTATGTGGACGACACGCACAAAAAAAAACTGTGGTCTAACATTGCATGTGCGTGCCTTTATGGTGTTCGAGACTCGAGCTTAAGAGCTTAAAAGTCACGCTAGCGTCCTACCCGGAATTATAAGACAGGTTTTGGAAATCCCGGCGGTTTCTGCTATATAAAGCGAGGCAGCAAGTGACTGGTATCACTCGCCTTCCTCCGGCTCTGCAGCGTTCACCTGGGCAGCTCGTCACGCAGGTTGGTGGAATAGTGGAGTGAACCTGCTATAGTCTGTTCCATATCAAGCTTGCAGTCGGAGTTTCTTCGGCAGATCGCTCCTCCGCTCAAGAATTTGCGTCTTAACCCTCGCCCGTATAGGGGGGGGGGGGGTCGAACGGACCCCCCCATGGTTTTTCGCGAATAACTCGCGTAAAAAGCGGCCGATTGCGACGAAACTTTCAGTACCCTCGCGTTAATCAATTTTACACCTACCCTGAAAATTTCATGACCCTGACCCCAATGACCTTTGACCTGTGACCTACTTTTCGAGACCATGTTTGGCCGGAATCGCGATTCGGCGTATGTCGGCTCGCATTAGCCGCGCGTTTGCAGTCTTTTCGTGGTTTCAAGCGTTCAAACATGTGATATGATGTTGCCCCCATGCATTAGGGGGGGGGGGTGTCAAGGTCACCTGAAGGTCAGGTCAGGTCATTGACCTTTGGTGACCTCGGTTCACTTTTTCGAGTTTTACATGTTTTTAGGCCAGTTTTTGGAGCTGAATTCGAATTTAGCAACCATATGAACATTTACGAAGTAGTTTTGGTGCCTTCGTAACATGTTACGAAGCTGTCAGAGGCGGTTGACACCTACTAGGAATACCCGGCAGGACCCCTACTGGTTGACCTGACCTGACCTGACCCGACCTGGACTAAATGCATAAAGACGTCATCTGTGATCAAAACTAACATGATATTCGTGATCAGCGCCCCGAAAAACCCCATGGCAGCCACACTTTACGACGTTCTAACAGGTCCCGATTTTCCCGACTTTTGGGTCATTGACCTGACCTGCAAGGTCAACCAATGACCTAGGACCTTAAAATTAGGTATCATCGGCTTCCTCTCGTCACGGGCAACACGCTCGTTTTTTTCCGCGAAGCTCTAGCTCGATCAGGGGCGAAACGGCAAGGGGGGGGGGGTCCAACGGACCCCCCCCCCCTTATACGTTCGCGGCTGGAAAAACACCAATACGGGCGAGGGTTAAAATGTAAGAGCTGTATATAAAGAAATCACGCACTGCTTTCAGCAGGGCGCTTCGGCTGCAAGCTTGAAACGGAACAGAGATATAGGTAGGAGCACAACTAACAATTCATTTCTTATTATGCATATAGGTTGTCGCATTTATATAAATTACCTGTCAATTTTCGGGCTGAGACCGAAACGCCTCTTAAGACTTCACTAGTCACTACTTTTCTTCTTATACTGTTTAACCCGCACCCAGATGGGGTCTGCCGAGCAACGCGGTCTGATGGGGGGGGGGGGTGGCATTTTAGCTCCCCCTAAGATCTCGAGAACCACGCAACATAGCGACAGGCGGCAAAAGGCGTTGGATAGCCCCAACGGGGAATTACCATGTGTCCCAATTTCATTGACTTCGGTCTAACCGATGACATCCCAGGTCAGGTCAAATGTCGAATTTTCACCGTTTACAGGCATTTCAAGAAATGCGTTGAAAAATCGAGTAAAATGCATGTCATTGAAAATCATCGATGGGGAAAATCATCATGTGTCCATAAAACACATATTTTGCTATCTGAGGTCACTGGTACCAGGTCAGGTCACAGAGGTCAGGTCACTGAGGGTCAAAATATGAAAATATCGATGCAAATTTTATGATCCATTTTAAATGACAAATGCGATTATGTTGGTCAGGCAGCCTTTGGGGCCAGTTTAGGTTATGTTTTGGTCAAGGTCAGGTCAAGGTCACGTCAAATTAGGTCACATTTCAAAGTTGATATTTTTGCATAAAATGGGTATCGATTCAATGCAGCTCGTCACGGGGAGTCTAATGGTGGTCTTTGTTTAGCGCTATGTGGTCTAGAATGGCTAAAAATTGAGTTAAAATATTGCCGTCATCAACTTTGAACATTTTTTTTTCGCTATAACTTGACCAAAAAGGGAAGTATTGGAATAAATTTGGTTTAAGGATAGAAGAGCGCAGGGATTATCACATATCCCGTTTTTCGTAATTTAAAAAATGAAAATATTTGAGTTTTTTCTTTTAAAAAAATATTTTTGGGGGTCAAAATCCCAAAATTTTGAAAATCCGAGATTGCAGTTTTGTAGCGCCGTTTGTTCTTTACACGGCCACATAAAGAACGTTGAAATTGCTTGTTAGCTGTAGGTTTTGTGAGCGTTTCAAGATGTCATGTTTTTTTGATCATTTTTGTTCGAACATGACCTCAGTTTGACCTCAATAGCTTCTGACTTAAGGTGACCTGTGACTTGAAATTTTGTGTGAATGTGTCAATTTGATGCTCGGGAAGGTACTGCAACTTTGGCGGCACTGCGCGCCACCGTTTTCTTCGCCATTCAAGAAAAACCACAGGAGCTAAAATGCCCCCCCCCCCCCCATTAGGGCGCGGGATAAGATAGATGTATTTTCAATGTCATAAAATATATATAGTACCAGATATCGATCAGAGAAAATTACCCGATGCAACATCCAAATGCCCGTATGTGAACGCTGACAAAACTGAGTGCTGTGACCGTTACTATGCTTGGAGAGTAGCGGCTGTTGTGCAATTACCCTAAGACGTGCAGTTGGGATTTTTCTGCTGTTAGATGTGAATTTGAGGCAGAGGTTTAAAACCATGTGTCTGTCGCAAAGCATTAAAGGAGAAGCAATTTCTATGCTTGTAGGTGCCGTCGTTTTTATGGGACTTAAAATTTCAGTTCTTGAATAATACAACGCCGATAAAAAGCATTCAAGTGAAACTTCAAAACCGGACTTTTTCAAGAGAAATAAAAATATTGTAAAAGATATGTAGCTTGTTCAATGTCATGACACATTATAAAATAATAGGAACGTCACTAAAACATCTTTTCATTTTCAGACTCCAAATATGAAGACCGCCGTCGTTCTCGCCTGCCTGCTGGTGGCCGTCTCTGCCAAGCCGCAACTTGGTTTTGGATTTGGCGGTGCCTCTGGTGGAGCTAACTCATTCGGCACCCAGGGACAGACTTCCGGATTCCTGGGCCAATCCGGCATTCAGAGTGGCGGTGCTAGCGCTGGGGTGAGTAAAAAAAGCGTCGCTGATCCTTGCGCTGATCATCCTTATTGTGACCATTATCAATATATTATAGTTTTTTCCTGCTCCTATCGCAGATGTATAATCACAATGTGATTCCTAACCAGGCGTAAATCATGCGCAAATAACCATACAGGCTTTTCAAGTGCTTTAGCGACAAAAACAGCAGTGGTACAGTGCAGGGTAATTGTTTGTATACGACTCATAGAGCGACATGCGTAGATAGCACATGCCAATGAACTACTTATTGTTTCAGGGTCAGGCATTTGGTCTGGGATCTTCTATCAGCGGTGCCAACAGCCAACTGGGACAGGGTTCCGGGTTCCTCGGAAGCAACCAGTTCAGCAGCCAGAACGCCTTCAGTAACCAGTTTGGACGCTAATGAAAAGCAAAATCGCCTCGCTTATTTGATGTGTGGCGGGAACGGACCATTGCGGACGATGGCGTATTTGTTATGACATGAAATAGAATTCCATTTTGACATAGCTCAGCGCATTTTTACGGTGAAGTGGCACATCGCTCTCATCGGTTGGTAAGCTTTTCGGCGAAAATTGAGTCCCGAACATCATATAGGCATGTGTTTTGAACGTATCACCGGAGGACCATCGTTTTAGTGTATGAAGTCGAAATAATATAATGAAATGAAACTGATATATTTGATGATGAAGCAAATTAAAGAGATCGATACGATACGAGTTAGCGTTAATTGGGCCGATTATCACAACGGGACATCTTTGAAATTCCCTTCATTTTTGACGAAAAATAAACAAAGCGCGTGACGGCTAGAGCATTCACGTAATAAGGTATACCACTTCCAAACTCGCAGAATAAATACACATGAAATGCACCATTCACAATTCACATACAATTACAGGCGTCTCATTGAAGTCAGTACGACTTGTTCTCAACACGTGCACGTTGCACGACAAATCGACAAATAAAAAATCAAATTTGCACCCTCATATTTTATTCTTCGTTGAAAAGTGGTGTAAGGGGTTGTGATGGGCGGGGAAGCCAGCTGTGGCAAGGATTTTTTTCTTCGAACAACGGTTTCCGAGATATAGCCCCGGGTAATTCCTGGAGGTCACGCTGCAACCCTATGTTTGGCGGCTTATGACTCAGAAACTATTGGTTTTCTATGATAGAAACTTCATGTGGTTCAACTCAAAATCAATCAACAAACATTTTGGCTATCTCGGATTTTAAATTTTTGAAAATTTTGATCACGTGACCTTTTGACCTATTTCTCGAAGTGACCTTTATATTTTCCCCACTGAAAGTTAAAATTTTGTCTGATGACGATTAAAGCCTTATCAATTGTCATTCATATGCGATAATAAAAAGTGGTTATCGCCCTGCGTTGACCTCTGGTCAGGTCATTTTTATGACCTGTCCATTATTACGAGCGGTCCTGTCCATTATTTCTATAAACTGTCTATTTGTATAAATTATTTCTTATACTGTCCATTATTTCTCCAATTGACTTTTAATTGGATGGTCAAGAAATTGACCTGACCTTAAGTCATCGATATCTTAATTCAAAGCGAACTGGCGCTAGGCCAAAGCAAACACAATGGTGCCTGTTCCACGTCTCTTTCTTTATTAGATCAAAAGGTACAGCCAAAACTATTTTGACTTCCTTTTTACCCCTGTGACGTCATCTTTGACTTGAAAATAACCTCACTAAAAATTGTAGACCTTATCGGCGTGAATCCTGTACCGTTTACCGCATGTCGCTCTCTTGCTTTATTCTCGAGATCTCGCTGTCGCTCCCGCTCGTAATAATGGACAGGTCATAAAAATGACCTGACCTGAGGTCAGCGCAGGGCGATAGCCACTTTTTTATTATCGCATATGAATGACAGTTGATAAGGCTTTAATCGTCATCAGACAAAATTGCAATTTTCATTGGGGAAAATATCAAGGTCACTCTTCGAAAAATAGGTCAAAAGGTCACGTGATCAAAATTTTCAAAAATTGAAAATCTGAGATATCCGAAATGTTTGTTGGTTGATTGTGAGTTGAACTATATAAAGTTTTTATCGTAGAAAACCAATAGTTTCTGAGTTATAGGCCGCCAAACATAGGGCTGCAGCGCGACCTCCAGGAATTACCCGAGGCTATATCTCGGAAACCGTTGTTCGAAGAAAAAAATCCTTGCCACAGCTGGTTTCCCCGCCCATCACAACCCATTAGACCAATTTTAAGCAAAAAATAAAATATGAGGGTGCAGGGCACTTGTCGATTTGTCGTGGAACGCCCCTGAGGTCAAATTTTCAAGCTGACCTTTCAAGGTCAAGTTATAGTTGATTCGATGCGTCTTGACAAGAGGAACACGATGCCGGTAAAAGTAAGCTCGTACAAGGCTTGGGTCAAAAGTTATTGCGGAAAAAACTGTTTCCGAAAAAAATCGTTTTTTTGCAGTTTTTCCCCGTGCAGGCAAAACCGTTGACGTTAGGTCAAATCTGAGAGAATTGCTCTGAAAGGGCGTGAATAGGTCTATCGAATGCGCTTTTCCGCGGCGCTGTAGCTCTATTGGTTACCGAGATATCTCGCCTATTCGCCTATTGGAAGGCGAGAAATGTTCCAAATTTTTCCTTTCACTTGAAAAAGGTAACTCGAAGAGCAAATCTATCCAGACATTAAGGCACGGAGATGACATTTATGTGAGAAAAAAGATATTACCTATCTCTAAATTTAGTCAACACCTCAGCAAGCGATATACACCTACAGTGGCTCAAAATGATGAACAATCGGAATATTTGGCAGCTAATATTAGGAATACACTTAACCCGCGCCCTGATGGGGGGGGGTGTTTGAACACCCCCCCCCTTGTGGTTTTTCGCAAATATCTCAAAAACGGCGGAGCGGAGCGCCGCCGTTTTTGGTACACCTTATCATACATCAATTCTACACATGTTGTGAAAATTTCAGACCAAGGTCATTCAAGGTCAGGTCACCAGGTCACTTGAAGTGACCTCACCTCATAAAAAGTTTCAATGTCTGCCATAGCTACACCGAGTGACCGATCGCTTTGAAACTTTCAGGGATTGCTAAGAGCAATAGCATGTACAAAATGTATATCTCAGAATTTTGATACCGATGACCTAAGGTCAGGTCAATTTTGCGACCTCCCAATTATATACGGATCGACTGATATGCAACATGACCCTTTCCGGTCAGGTCATGACCTTGACCTGAGGTCAAATTTTCAAGTTGACCTTTCAAGGTCAACTTATAGTTCATTCGATGCGTCCTGACGAGAGGAACACGATGCCGGTAAAAGTAAGCTCGTACAAGGCTTGGGTCAAAAGTTATTGCAGAAAAACTATTTCCGAAAAAATCGGCTATTTTTGCAGTTTTTGCCCCCTGCAGGCAAAACCGTTGACGTTAGGTCAAATCTGAGACAATTACCCAGTAAGGGCGTTAATAGGGCTATCGAATGCGCTTTTCCGCGGCGCTGTAGCTCTATTGGTTCCCGAGTTATGCGTTGACTTCTTGGAAATTTTCGACATTCGACCTCGGAATCGGCGAAATTTTGCCTTCAATGACCTCTGGTGACCAGACCTTTGAACTGACCAAAAAATTGACCGAAGTGATTTCGTCATTATTTTTGACGCTCTTTCGAACGCCGCCTTCCGCGTATCGCTACGTGGCCCAGGAGCCGAGTTACAAGGGGGGTGTTCAAACACCCCCCCAGCAGGGCGTGGAAATCCAGGACCCCCAGCCGGGCGCGGGTTAATGACGAACAAATTAGAAACTTAGAGAAGCCGATAACTTTATCGGAACTAACTTCCACTCTATACGCAATGAAAGCTGGCAAATCTCCCGGCTCAAATTGTTTCACTTCGTCCTTTTTTAAAAAGTTCTGGGACCATATCGGAATATTCCTATTTAGAGCATACCAGCAAAGCGTCGAAGATGGTTCTTTCTCGCAATCCTTTAGGGAAGCAATAATAACTTTGATACCAAAAGCCGGAAAACGGTTAGATACCGTCAAGGGCTGGAGACCAATTTCCCTACTTAATGTAGATTTTAAGATAATTTCGGCAGCAATATCGTTCAGACTCAAGCACGTAATAAGTAGCCTAATATCTGCATCACAATCAGCTTATATTAAAGGTAGATCAATAACAGAAAACAGTAGATTAGTATACGATGTAATACACCATGTAAATGAAAGGGATCAATCAGGATACATTATTGCTGCAGATTTCGAACGAGCGTTCGAAAGCGTCTCGTGGAATTTCTTATTAAAAACTTTGCAATGCTGTATTTTGGGCCTCTATTTGTAAACTTCAAACAACTAATCTATATGAATAAAAGTAACTTCTCCCGAATATTAATGGATGGACATCTCGGTGAGCACATTTACATGAAAAGTGGAATTAGACAAGGCGACCCTGTTTCCGGTTATCTTTTTAATCTAGCCGTAGAATCTCTAGCAAATCAAATAATCTTTTCAAATACATTTAAAGGAATTTCTTTGAGTAGGAATATCGAGGTCCGTATCTCCCAATATGCAGACGATTTGCTGCTCTTCACAGATAAAACAGAATCAATCACGAGCGCGATTTCTGAAATAAAGGAGTTTTCATCGGTATCTGAACAAAGAAAAACGAAATGTTTGCCAATTGGAACAAGTCCAGATATTCACGCCAATTATAACGGAATACAATGCATGAGCGAGCTTAAGATTTTAGGGATAACTTTCAATAAAAACAACAAATAGTTATTTTTCAGAAACTTGATAACTAAACTTCCTGCCATCAAAAAGGAAATTTCGCAATGGAGAAGAAGACACATTAGTCTAATAGGTAGAATAACTGTAATAAAATCACTTCTCATGTCCCAACTGGTTCACCTGTTTTTAGCCTTACCAATTGAAGATGGTAATGACTTAGTAGAAATTGAAAAGAAAAGATGTTTTTTTTAAGTTTCTGTGGAACGGCAACAACAATCGCGTAAAACTAGACAAAATAATTCAACCCTTACAAGTCGATGGTCTAAAAATGATTAATATAGAAGCCTTTAATAAAAGCCTTAAAGTTACATGGTTGCGACTTGCGAAGGATGTTCAACTCCAGTCAACCGTGGGATTCAATGTTGCCGAAATGCATGTCCCCGATAGAGGAACTAGTAATATGTGGGTCTAAAGCTCTAAAGAAGATAAAGGATAAGCTTACCAATAAGTTTTGGCGTGAAGTTTTGAAGGCATGGGAAGAGTTTTGCACAGCTTTCACACCAGACACAACTCAAATGCTAACAGAAAAAAATATGGTTCTCTGATATCTCAAAATTTACATGCAGCATCATCAAATCGTGGGACAAAAAAGGTGGCCGGTGGACGCTGGCCGGCGGTGCTTGGTGTAATGCATCCAGTGTTCTGTGTCAGCTTTTGGTAAAGCGTTCACGGCTTGTAGCTGACCTAATAAATAACGAAACCGGAACCATTCTATCAAAGAGTGAATTAGAGCAAAGATATGGAATAAGGATGACTTTCTTATGTTATACATCCCTTATAAGAAGTTTACCAAACGCAATCAAAGAGAATAATTTCAAATCGATGATAATATATCCAACTCTACCGTATAAAATTGGGATAGTGAATGGTAAAGAGAAATTATCTCGATTGACATACAAAGCA